TTGCATTTCCGAATGGTTGATTCGATCGTTTCGCTGTGTGATTTGTGAGCCAGGACAATCAAGAGCGCGAAGCGGCACATGAGCTGTAAATTGAATTAACCTTCAGCTGGATGGTCGGATGGTCGTAAAGTTCCCCGTCACGGCACCCTGTGGCGTGTTCCTTCCGCTTCCGTGGTCAACCCACGCCCAAAAATGACAGAGAGCACTGAGCGAGGCCCAGATAAAGTGCTGCCAAGTGGCTGAGCGATGGCCTGGGAATGATAATACTCGTAAAAGTGGAAATGTAAACACGTATGTTGTATGTACGAGGCACAATTGACTCCCCGCGGTTGCTGCACAACAATGGCCGGCACTGGCCTGGGCCTGGCTCTGCCTTTTGGGGCTCAAGTTAATTGTGTTGCTGGCTGCCTGGCAGTTGCATAGGGTTAATCGCTTGTGTAGAACGGAACAGGAGTGTATGTTGCTCCAATTGCCACAAAAGATAGCGCACGAGACCATTGTGTGACTGACATGTTAATTAAAATTGCTCATAAGGCCTCAGTCCTCCTGCCATGCCCTGGCCTGTACTGTCCTACCAAGTGTATCTAAACGCGGGCAACATGTCGCCAGGCACAACAAGTGTCTTTGCAGCATGTGGCCAGCAGCAGTGATGCTGCGCCTTAACGGCAACAATGCTGCACCGCCGCTCTTTACGTTTTTTGTTTGCTGCTTTGTTTTTGCCGCCCGATCTGACTCTTTGACCGCTGAATTTTCTGGCCCACTGCCCACCACCCTAGCTGACAGCCAGCGAAATCAATCCTTCTCTCTCTCTCTCTATCTTTCTGGGTTTTCTCTGCTTTCACTTCCGCTGGCGGACTCATTGAATGTTTGTTAATTTTATAAATAATTACCTGCAATTAGGAATGATTTTTTTGCACGGCCTCTACCCACTCCTCTTGTCTCGTCTGACCTGCTGGTGGCATTTATAGACTTTGCTTTTGCTGCTAGCGCCCAAACTCTGGCCAAATGTCCTGCGGCAATATCAATTAACTTGAATGCCAAATGCTAAATACAGACACGAGCTGCTCCAAATTAGGTTTCAAGTGCCCTGCCAGCCACCTGTGCAGACATTTGCCCTGAATCGCTCATACATTTTATGTTAATTACCCGAAGACACGTTTAAGGGGCATTTACACAAAACACAGGCTCCCACATGCCTGTATTTGGCCTAACTGGTCTGGCCTGCAAAACGTTTAAGCTTTTAAGAGCTTGGTTACGAGTTGAGGGTTGGAATGGGAAGATCCGAAAATAGGAAAACCAAAGTCCCAGGTGCAAGGAAAACAAAAACAATATTGTTTACATTACATTGTCTTTGCTTGGAGCTAAAAGCTGAGAGAGATGCGTTTGCTCTCTTCTTTATTACCTTATATTCCACGCTAAGCCGCTTATTTTCTCTCTTATTGCGAAATATGCATTTGCTTCTTCTTTGCTCTTCTAATGCAAGCAAACACATTTGCAAAAAACTCAAACTCTTTACGCCTTTACTCACTCATCTCACTCATCGCTCTCTTGATGTTGGAGAGGGGCGAAGATAAGTAACGGAAACAAGTGTCAAAATCGAATAAGATATCAATTAGGAAACGCATTACTAAGAGAAACTCCTGCTCTTAGGCTTTGTTTCTCGAACGGTCCTCTCTCTTCCTTTTTTTTTGCCTAGCGATGCTTTACTCCCCTCTTCAACCACTTGCCAATCCCACGTACACAACACTTTCCCCTTCTCGCATTCACCGTTGCATTAACAAGTGGTCACAAGTTAAACGTACAAACGATCGCTCTCTTGGAGTAGGAGAGGGTGACCATCAAAGTCAATGTCAAAGGAGAGCAGTTAGAAAACCGCATCAAAAGGAAAGCATGGAATGTTCTAGAAACGCCACTTACTCAAATTTTTTCGGCCAAGCGCGTGTTTTAAAGCGGCTCCGCGTTTCGGGTCGCGAAAAATCGGGAAATGGATGGAAAATCCATCGGGAAAATGGTCGCGCTATTGTGCAGTGTAGTAGCCATACATATATTTATATAGTGATTACAAAGAAAAGTCCAGAAAATGTGTTTGGTTGCAGAGGAAAGTTCCTGATCAAGAGCAGCGGCGGAATGTCGTCTGCAAAATGGCTACAAAGGCGAAGGCAATAAGAAAATTAGTGAAAGTCAAGTGTTAAAAGTGTAATTGTTCAATATATAAAACTATTCTATGCATATGTACATATTTACATATGTGCATCTTTTTTTTCTGAGCGTCTTTGTGTGTGCAAAAAAATTCACAAAAGGTGGGAAGTATGCCCAAAACGGCGCGAAAATGTGCCTCTTTCCCGCTCCATCATGTTATTCGCATAGGGAAAAAGAGGAGCAAAGAAACGAGGAAGGAGTCGACGCTCTCATATGCCATTGTAAGGTGAGGCATGCCAAATCTTGCTGACCTAAATATCTTTCGGTGGTGTGTCTGCCAGAGCTTCAGGCCTGCCAGGCCACACCTTATATTAATATACCAAAAATATTTTGTGTGGGTGCGTTTGTGTTTTCGTTTCGTAAATCGTTCGTTCGTTCGAATCGTCGCGCGGTTTACCGATTCTTCTTGTGACGTCACAATGTGGAAAAAGGAAGGGCAAATAAATTACTTGCGCGCCAAGCGGTAAGCGTTTCTTTTGCAGTTTTTGTTTACTCTTTGCATACGTTTTGGTTTCTTTTGCTCTGTCTCGCATGTAAATGTGTGTGTTGATCAGGGCAGTCTCTTTTTCTGGTGTGAGGGCAGTTTGCAATGCTTTTCTTATCGGTAAATCTCTTTCAAAGAACATCTTTACTGTTGTTAATTACTCTGCCCCTTATGAGCTAGGCCTGCTTTGGGTACTTTATCATTACTAATACCCTCACCACATAGTAGTAGGAAAGCAACTCCTAATTATGCGTAGAATATGTAATACGGCTGTCACTGTCCCTTTGAGTGTAACACGTGCGAGTAGATTTCTCATCTTCTGGCTTCTCCTTTTGGCAATTGTTATGCCTCGGTGCATGCTCCACCTTCTGTTCAGGCCATTAATTTGTTTAGTGTCATAATTGGGTCGCAGCTTGTAATAGACCAAGCTGATTTCCATATTAATTGGTCATTAGGTCAGGTGCGGAAGTGTGGAAATGTTCGCTCCTTTGTGGAAAGTGCATTAACATGCGGCACTCGGTTGTTGCTGTTGTCCAAGATATCGGACACACGCAGTGTTTGTGTGTGTTAGAGAGAGTTAGTGGTCAGGGGGTGTTGTTGTTTTGTGTTTGCGGTCACCCCAAATGATGTTGCCCGTTGCTTTGGCAACCGCAAATTGAAGCCTACCCGCCAGAGACCAGAGAGAGGAGTAAAAGTGCTAAAATCGCTGCTCATTTTTGTTCTCAGGGAACAGGGCGAAAATTTGGTCATAAATCAGTTTGTGGCCAACTTGGGGGAAAAGCGTTGGCAAAAAGTTTGTCTGCGTTCCGGTCCTGGTCCTGGTCCTGTCGGTGGCAACAGATGCCGGGGGGCGATTTTAACGAGGCCTAATGGAAACCGCCGGCTAATGAGGCGAAGGTGGAACTCAACGCAGTCCGAGCATAAAATTAAATATTAATATTCAATTAGAAGAATAATTATTGATTTCTCCCCCATGGCAGCAGCGGCGTTGCTGCTTTTTTCATCTTTCCTTGTTGTTTGGTTTATGGCAAAGGGAAAGGGTTGAGGGATACAAAAACAACTGCCACGGCGTGGCGTGTCTCATTGCCATTTATGTAGTTGAAGCTCATCTGCAAGCGATGCACGTTAGGACTCTTTTTTTATTACAGCCACATGTCGCCTGTCCTCGGCCAGTCCTGAGTGACTCTTGCCACAACTATGCATGTAACTAACGAGGTAGAGGGACAGACGAAGATGGACAGACAGTCGAGTCTCATTTTTGAATAATTTAATGAGCTGCCTGCCTGCTGCTCTGGTGACATCGGCGGCGGCGTATGCGCAATATTAAATCCTGGCGACCGCACATTTATCATGCTCCCAACCCATCGTCCCTCAGGCACACACATGCCACACAGTCCATACAAAAACCCCACAGCACCGCATCCCTTTATGCGGCGCCAGTTTAATATGTTTTTAATTGTCCGCCACTGGCAAGGAGCGAATCTACTTGACTTTAATGACCTCCTCGGAGTTGGGAGTCGGGTAGTCTCGTCGCATCCTTTTGTGGGTGGAGGAGGATGTCTCTTATTTAATTTTTTAATGCCTCTCATTAAGGCCAAAGGCGGAATCGGATATAAACTGCAAGGAACAACAACAACCGAGCCGTTAAGCAAGTTAATTAATTTTTACAGCAACGAGACAGGTTTAACAAGCAAACGAAAAATTTGGCTATAAATCAACTGATAATGTCAGCACATTTAGCGACAGCCACTTTCCCCCTCCTCGGGCAATATTTTGATAAACTTTCGCCATGTTTAGCTGCAAGTTCTCTCGATTGACGTGCGTGTGTGTGCGGCGGAGTGGGGCACAAATCAAAAACTAACAACTTTTCCACGAGCCCCAGCAATGTGACGATAGTTTGCAAAAGGGTCGAGTCGGGTCGGGTCGGGTCTGTTTTCTGTTTCCTTTAATCAGCAGCAAAGGCCTAATGCATTGGGGGGGCTTCCTGCACGGACTTCACTCCGTGTCCAAGTGCTGTGACAATGGAAGGTCAAAGTTTACACGCACACACATTCCAAGAAGGAAAGCCTTCCACTCAAAAAGGGTCGTTGTTTTTGTTAGTTTAAACTTGAGAAATAAGTTCCATGCCTGCGCCTGAGCCTCTGGCAAAGGTTTTCTTAAATACTTAAAGAATTTGTTGTAGAATTATTTGTTAGTTTTTCTGCAGTTTAAAACTGAATTAGTTTGTGTTATATGGCCAGGCTTTTCCATCGATTGGCTAATTTATTATAGAAGCCAGGCAAAAAATGGCCACTGCCTCTGGTTGGGGGGCTTTGAATATTTTTCAGTCGATATTTAATCTATAAATTGTAGAGCTTGGAATAACATATTGCTGGTGGCAAAGGGCATAAATCTCATTCTAGGTTTAAAGCCATAAAGTTGGGACGGGTCTTAGGATGGATCCACTATTTGTTCTCCTTGTTGCCGCTGGAGCTGCTGCTGCTCTCCTTGATGACGGCACATATTTTATCGAATGCCGATTCCAGGCTATCAATAAACAGCTTGCCCTCGGCCTGCTGCTTGTACGTGGTGACAATTGCGCCAGCAAATTCATTCTGAATCGAATAGCTACAAAGATACAGAGAGAATGAATCAAAAGATGTTCCAATAAATAAAGTTCCTCTGTCCCTTACCCAATGCCAAAGCCATTCTTGACCACAGGGCCAAAGGAGCCCGCCAGCAGGGCATCCGAACCGAGTGTTGAGGTGCTGATAATGTTATTGTTGATGCGCTGATAGGCGTCAGTCTCGTATAGCTCGGGTATGGGCAATCCCTCACGCTGTGCGGTCTGCCTTAGCGCAAACAAATGCCGATCGAAGCCCTGTCCCATGGCCGCCTCCTTCGTCAGCTGACCGTGCACCTTGCTGCACTTGTCGATCATGGCACGCAGCTCGCCGGCACTCGGCTTGCTCCTCGCCGGCTGCAGCACAGCCTCGCAAAAGTCCCGCGTGGCCGTCGTGCAGGGACGCATCGTCTCGGTGCGGCCATGTCGGAAGGCGGAGGTGCTGCAGGACTCGTAGCTGCCCACATAGCCGTCAAAGGCCTGGCGATGTGCCAGCTGGAAGGATAGCTGAATGATGGAGTCGGGACTCAGGCCGTACTGCTTGCAGGTCAGCTTGTTCAGGTGCGAATAACGCAGCAGATGCATGTCCAGGCTGTCCACAATGGCCGCGTTCTTGGCATAGGCCTGCTCCACGGCCGATTTGGTCACTTCATCGAACTCAAAGTTGATGGGCCGCACATTGCCAAAGTCACCTTCAGCGGGTGTGTGCACCGTCTCCGTGGACACGAATGGCTGCTGCAGCGTGTCCTTGTAGAGCTCATTGAAGTAGCGCAGCACAGCGACACCATCGCCCCAGGAATGCTCGAAATTAATGGCCGTCGTGCCATCAGCGCTGATCAGCAGCGAAATTGATTTGTCGAACCAACTAGAAATAAAGGAGGAACAAAGATTAGGACAACAAATGGTAGAGAGGGTGACCTTGGCCCTACCGATTCTGCGCCTTGCCTGCCAGCAAATGCTTGAGCAGCGGCTCCTGGCTGTTTTCGTTGTAAATGCCATCCTCCTCGGCGTCCAGACAAACGCAAAACAGAGCAGCATCCACCTCGCTCTGCAGCAGATCTGCGTTCTTCGGATTGAGCACAAAATTTGCCCTGCTCTTGGCCCATTCATCGCGCTGTGAGGCCGTCAGCACGCCCAGCGGCACAGCAGCAGCCTCGCGCTCCGAGTCTAGCCTTAGGACAGCCTTCAGTCTGCCCAGAATCACGCTGGGACTCTCAATGTAGCCGCTGGAGTCGAGCACATTCACGGCGTACATGTGACCGCGTCGCATCACCAGAATGTGCTTGGACTCAGGCGACTGCACAAGCTCGTCCTTGCCCAGACGGGGAATGCGCGAGGTGCCAAACAGACGATTGTACTGGCTCATGTCCAGGGGGAAGGCCTTGAATGCGTAGGAGGCGTAGGTGGCAAAGGCCTTGGGCGCCACCTTCATCCAGCGTCGATAGCTGGCCGTGTCGCTCTTCTTGGCATTCATGTGGTACACCTCCGGCTCCAGCAGATCGGCCTGCAGCGAGCGCCAGAAGCGCAGCGAGCTGATGATCACATTGGTGGCACGCACCACTTGTTGCTGGTACTCCGGCCGCGTGTCGCTCTTCATCACCAGCAGCGGATTGTAGTTGAGGGGCAGGGGCGCACGATCGGCCAGGTACATGTCGAACCATGGCTGGGATATGTAGCTGGTGTGCTTGTTCTCCGCATCGTGGGCCTTCAGCTTGGCGTGCAGCTCCATGCCGATGCCCTGGCGGAACTGCTCCACCACCTGCTGCGTGCGTCCATGCTCCTGGGGCGTCAGCAGTGGCTGCACAGCGGCCAGGAAACGCTGGCAAGTGTTCTCCAGCAGAGGTATGGGCAGCCGGGGCAGCGAGCGCTGAAAGTAGAGCGTCGGCAGCTTCGAACACTGCAGATACTGATAGTGCTGGCCGTGCGTTGTCGTTGTCCGTGAGGAGTTGGTGGATAGAAAGGAGAGATTCCTGTTCACCTTTGCCCTAAACATCTTGGCCGTTTTTTAGTTATTGTTTAAACGTCGTGTCAAAGTCCAAACCGGAGCAGCAGCAGCAACAACAAACAATACAAGCGAAAGCAAAGCGAAGAAAAGCAACAGCTGGTCGAGATCTGGTCGATCAGCTGATCGCTGTCATCGATATATCGATTGCATGCGATGGCTGCGCGCCACACTTGGGGATGGTAGCGAGAGAATTTGAATTTGAAATTAGCGGTTGGGAATTTAATGTTGAAATTAATTAACATTTTCATTCTTTGGAATTTCATTTAATTTCAATTTTAGTATTTGGAATTTAATATAATTTCAATATTTTTTACTAGGAATTGAACTTAAATTTTAATAATTGAAATTTATTACTTAAAATTGATTTGAAGCTATTAAAATTTAATGCTTAAATCTAAATTTTAAGCTGCAAATCGAATTGTATTAATTTGAATTTAATTTGTGAGATTTTAATATTAAATTAATTTAAATTTAATTATTTTGAATATTTAACATTAAATTTGTATTTTTAAATTGAATTTTTGCAAATAAATACAATTTTTTAAATTTAAATTTAAATATTTGCAAAGTAACTTAACTTAAATTTAATTAAATAATTAATAAATTTAATTCATGAATTTTAACTTGAATTTAAATTGAATTAATTTGAATTAAATTCACGGAATTTGAATTTTAAATAAATTTAAATGCAATTATTTGGAATTACTTAAAATTTAATGAAATTAAAATTTGGAATATAATATTTTAAGTGTTAAAAACGGCCAGCAACAAATGTCTATGCTGCCTTAAATATTAATACAGTCAATTGGCCAACCCCTTTAAATTCCACACAGGCCAATAACAATTACCCATCGATTTGTGTAGGAATTGGTTGGATTCGAAGGTGCCTCAAAGTGCTTAAGCGTACTTTCACCTTTCGTCTCCGAGTCGTCTCCGAGTCGTCTCCGACTTCGACTTCGACTCTGACCTGACCCGTTGGATAAACACGTATTTGTTTGCATTTGCCGTTTATTTGTTTGCTTTGCTCTTCCCGTTTTTGGTGTCTCGTCGTCTCTGGCGGTCAAGAGCGGGTCTCCTGCGGGGTTTTTATTCCACCGGATTTGACGGTCACTGTACCCAGGTGTGCCAAAATAAAATTAGGAATGAAATGAAAATTCGCATACAATTTGTATGCTTTGTCGAATTTAACGAGCGCGCAAACCGTCTGCCCATCGATTTCTGTTCGCTGTACAATTTTTACTCCACCACACAAACGCTTAAATTAAGTAAAGTGTCCAGGGAATCCTCCCAGCATTCCCAATTCCATTCGCAAACATTTGCATAAGAGGTAATAAGTTTGGGGAAAGCGGAGATACGGATGTTGGATGTGGGATGTGGGATGTCGATGTGGATGCGGATGGGTTGCAGTGTAATTGGGCGAAGTGAAATTGCGTTAATATTTAACCAGCGAGCAAGAGTGCAAAAGTGAAGCGCATTAAAACGGAACACGGATACGCCGTTGCTCTCAAGTCCTTGGCGGAAAAGTGCGAAATTATGCGAAATGGAATGGCAGAAACCCTTTTTCCGCCCCCGCTGAATTATGAATGTGGCTGGCTGTTATGTTTCAATGTTGAATGTTGGCCAAAAGGTCAGACATCGAGGAGGTTTTGTCAGCGTGAAAACAAACCAAAATTTAAATGGAAAATCCTTGTGTGATTTCACTTTGAAATTGCTTTCCCATTAATGTCAGTTTAAATTTAAAATTATTGTAATTCAAAATGAGATTTAATGAGATTTCCGCTGCTCTGTGATGACAGCAGAATATTAATATTGAAATACCAATTAATCACAAATAAGCTTTAAGTACAATAATATTGTCAATAATTATTGACACAAGAAATTCATAAAGCAAAAAAAATCAAAAAATTGTTTAAGCCTCATTGAGTTTTGGTTATCCGTTAAGTGAAATTGCAAATAATTAAAATAGTACAAAAAAAATAAATTGTATGTGTGCTATAATTAATTCATTTATTTATTTATTTCAACGCGCTTATTAATGAGTGTCCATTCAAGAGCCCTTTTCGCCCAGTGGGAAATCTATTCAAGGTAGTCCGTGAAGGGAAAATAATGATGAACAAAAAATGTGAATGAACCCCGGAGCTCATTAAGAGCAAACAAAAAATGAAACGAGAGGTAGAAAAGTTTTAACTGTCGCCGGCAGATGCGAAAAAATGCCATAAAGAGCCATACAAAACAAAAAATAGCCCTAAAAATACGCATTTTGTATAGCGAAAATCAACATTTGTTTTCAGTCCGAGTCCGAGTCGCAGTCCCCGTCCCCGTCCCAGCCCCAGCGTTGACAATAAACTGTTTGACCATTCCAGCACGCACAGCTTGAACGGGGATGCCTTTGGCCGTAAAGAAAAAACACAAACAGTCCAGAAGGTGTTCCAGGTGAAAAGAGTTAACAGGAAAATTCCATTTCCATTTCCCCCTTTCGTGATGACAATGGCAAATGGCAGCGGCTGTCCAAGGTCTGGGTTGTGGCAGACGACACCCATTTGCATAGATGGCTCAGCATTTTTGCTGGTATCCCATGTAGAGATATTCCATTCAAGCAAAAATCATCGCCATTGACATCGACATGGCAAATGGCAGGCGTTGACAGGACCAAGAAATTGTGGCAATAACTCAGGCCCAGGCCGCACTGAACACAGTCAGGATTAAAAAGCTAAATCAGAGACAGCAAAGAGAGCGGGTAGAGGGTGAAATGTAAGACAGGAATCTTGTCGAATTCCGGCTTGTATCCGCTGTGCCATGTCAAGGAGCCGCAGGCTGTCAAAAAAAATTCAAATTTAATTCCTCATCTTGTCTGGGGGGGAGGGGCACCGCATGCGAAATAAAGCCTACAACACACCCACGCTGTGATGTCGATGTTGTCTTGAAGATGGCAAAATAATGAACCACAATCTGCGGCAGCCTGCAATTATGCCAGAGCATGTTAATTTACAGAGGAATTTCGCTTGCTTCCATTGAGGTTCACTCGAGTGAGCTCATAATTGCAGCAACATTTAGTGGACTTTGAACCCTCCACGCGACACAAATTTTGCTTGTTAATTTATGGTCAGCTGCAGACGTTGACCAGCAACTACCACTACCAATTAATATATGCTGCACAGCGACTGGGACAGGGTTCAATCAGTGGCCACAGAGTTTATTGATACTCGCATCGTATCCTGCCTTTTTTGTCTGTCAATTATGGCCACGGGGAAAAGGGGTCAAGCGTCTGGGGAAATGTTTGCTTTAATGTCATAATGTGTCAATATTGTAATTAAATGTTGAGTATTCGTTTGGCAGAAGCAACAATTTCTGAACTTAATTCAGAGATAATTTCAGATAATAATTTTCAAACGAAACTGAAAAATATTCACGGATTTGCTCTCTAAATGTTTTCTTGTGCCATGCAATGTCTCTCTGAATGTTGGCTTCAATTATGCTTAAATGGTAACACAGCTTAAATATCTTTTTCGGGATAACCCAAACCCATTCGAAGCCAAGCGATTTCAAGTATTTATGGCCACATTCAAATGAGCTCAAGCTCTGTGGCAAGAAAACTAATGACACACCCAATTACGCTCCATATCGTCTGTAGACATTGTTCCTCTAATAAGCCGCATAGATGTATGTACGAGTACGTATGTAAATATGTATACATAATATGTAAATGAATGCAAAGTTAACTTTTATTTCCTAATGTTATTCCTTGGACCATTTTTTGATAATGATTTTTCCTAGAAAGGCCAGACAAATTGCTCCTTTCGTTTCGTTTCGTTTCGTTTCGGTTTTTGTTCTTGTGCTTGACTGAGCCCGTACTGGGCTGGTCCGGGCAGATTGCCTTTGCCTTTGCCTTGTCTTTGGGCCGCAGAGCAAAAGCGAATTCATTTTTCACCAGAGCGCCAGAACACAATCATTACGGCCAAACAACACAAGACTGGAGAGCGAGAGAGCGTGCGAGGGGCCACACATTAAATTGTTATAAAGCCATCGTTGAGAGCCATGAGACGCCCCCAAGGAAGCGCAGCCGCCGTCGTCGCCGTCGACATGTGAAGTAGTCAGTCCCCAGTCTACAGTCTCCAGTCTCTATACCCCCAAACCCCCCCGCCCCCCGTGACGACATGTAACTGATGTTGTTTTGTTGTAAATTTAATTTTCCACAGAGCAAAGCTCCTTCTTGCTCGTTAGTGTAGGTCCAGTGTCCTGCCCTGTCCCGGTCTGCACTTTCATCTCGGTCTCCACGTCAGATTAAACTGTTTGATTTCTGTTTCTGTTGCGTGCCGACAAGCGTTTTTCACGAATTTTATGGTCAGCAATTAACAGTTTTCGAGTGCGCTGCCCTGAAGGCATCGTGCCACATGTCGTGCAGCCAGCCATCAATCAGGCTGCGGCGTAGGGTGTGCAGGTGGTGGTTAGAGGTGTGTGGGTGTGTGGGTGTGGCACAACAATCGTAATGGCAATCGGAATGAGGCGGAAATGTGCAAAAATAAATCAAGTTTCACATAATTTATGAAAAAAAGAACTTGCTAAAAATAACTAAAATGGCTGCCCAAAATGCGTCACTCTGCCACACACACACATACACACACACTCTCTCTCTTCTTGCCTGCCATTAGCTGTCTGGCATTTTCAGGTCCTGGGCATGACGCGGCAGGTCAGTCCGTTATTTATTCGCGGATCATTCAAAATATTTGGAATTATTTAAGCATTGAGATATTTTGGCAACCCTACTCAATGGCAAGTCGGCGGGGGAGTAGAGGAGAGTTTAAGGCTGGGGAAAATCCCAGTGAAAAGTGTGGATGAATAGTGGAGAGCAGCGTGTCTGAATGTGAATGCCACACCGATTGATCCAAATGAATTGGAATGGCCTGGCCAGCACTTGCAATTGGTAGGGCGAATTTTCCACCAATAGCTTTTCATTTGGTTTGTTCAATTGGTTGAAAATCAGTGGGGGAGGGCGAACAGACAGATTTACGCGAGTTCAGGCAAAGTTTCGTTCTTCCTTTTTTGTTTTTTGTGGTTGTTGCTGAAATGA